GTATATGGAGTTCCATCAAAGTGGAATATGCCCAAACATGTATACAGTTTTATAGCCTGGATTTGAGGTTGCCCCATCATGAGTGCTTGTTTATGTCAAATCCATTTAGATCTTGAGCCCATGAGGGCACTAACCCGGCTTAATTTATGGTCTGTAAAGTATGCAGCTACTGCAGCTGCAGGATACACCTGGAGGGAGCTCAGGACAGCTTATGGCAACAACCATGTCATCCTGATGACAAATGCAACAGCTTCTCCCACTTCAGGCAGTACGCAGCTGAAGAACTGTTAGCTATCGAATTTTTATAGCTACAATCCTGAGTCCCATTCTGAACAGATTTTTCAGATTAAAAGGAAACCAGTTTTTCTCAAGTATGCAGGACATGAAATAATTATGGGTGCAACCATGTGAACCCAAAGCCATAAACTGACACCCAAGGCAAAATCAGAGGCAACTATGGACCACTTTCTATGACCTTTCTCCTCTCCTCCTCTTCTCTGCTCTTCTGATACATTTAGCCTTGTTGCTTCCTAACCCAAACCTTCTTTCACAACAGGAAATGACCTCAATACCAAGCTTCTAAAATGTCAACAGCCACAAGTACCAGAGAGCTGATATTAATGGAGAGAAACAATGTTATTTCATGATGGCAGCTTATTTTTAAATTTTCTATCCAGACATACAGTGTTAAGTGTTATATGACAAAAACATTCTCACTTTCATCAAGAATTATGATCTCTTTCATTTTTCATGGACTTCTGTCTTCCTACCCTTTATGAAGATAAACATTCTGTGAAATACTACCTATAAAGCAACATAATACAAGGACAAAGATAAGTGGCAGCTGACATTTAGCACATGAGCTGGGGCACAATAAAGAGCAGCGCTGACTACAGAGACCTAGAAAGGATCTCTTTCTTGGGGTTCACAGCTGTTTGTTCAGTTAATTGTTGCCTTTAGAAAATTTGGTTTTAAAACGTGGCTAAGATTTTGTAAATTACTTGATGAAGTAAACACCACAGACCACCAGTGCATGTATCCTCTTGATTAAAATTCATTATACCAATCTATTTCCTTTCTTAGTGATTTGCATCTTCAAATGTGCTCCCTCTAATCATGGACTGAAAGGTAGCGTGGGCTAAGGCGACAGAGAAAAGGAAATAGAGGAAGAACTTCATGTGCATGATGCCATATTACCCCCAAGACTCGCTCTAAGATTAACAAGTATGCTTTAGTTTTAGGAATTCTTGTCAGAAGAAATAATCCAAAACTGCTTTGCCCCTTGTTCTGCCCTAAGACCTCCGATGGGAATCGAGAGTCCCTTGTCCCTGTGTCCTCATCCCATTTTTCTGGGTTAATCTCTCATTTGGTCCTACTTCTGCTTCCTTCCTCTACTCTATTCCCAGGGCGTGGGCATCTGAAGCCTTGGGGCTCTGTGTCTGCTATCTCCCAGCACCCAAGGCCCCGCCAGCAGGAGGGTAAAATGTGAAGAAAAATGTTCTCAGTGGCTGTAACGGGACTAGCGAGGGCAGGACTACCACAGCTATGAAAGATTTTGTGAAGCAGATGCCACTGGGATAGCTCTGCTAACAATTCACAGGCAGCAACGAAACTAAAACCCCAGTGATTTACACACAGCAGGTTCATACATGTTTGTTAAATAAATAAATGGATGGATGGATGGTTTCATTATTTGATAGAGTGTCAAAGGGTGGGGTTAAAGATTAACATGATGCAAAGCTTTGTTCCTAATAACAAGAATTAAATGTAAAAGGAATCAGGATTAGTATGTTGGGAAAGAACTAAAGGATAAGCCATTCAAGGTTTCTAAGTCTATGAAGCAAAGGCATAGAGTAGAAGTTACCAATAAGGAAAAAGCTTAAATCAGAAGGGTCTGAGCTCTTGCATGAATTGAGGAAGTTCAAGATCAAATTAGAAGAGTGAGCTGGACATGTTGGTGCGTGTTCATAATTCCAGCACTCTGAGACTGAAGCAGGAGGATCACAAGTTAAAGCCAAGCCCAGGCAACCTAGGTACTTAGCGAGACTATCTTAAAAATAAAAAATAAAAGGGCTGGGGGTGTAGCTCCATGCAAAGTCTCTGTGTTCAATCCCCAGTACTGAGGGTGGGGGGAATGGAAGAATGACTAATCATGCTAATAATTTGGTGGCTTCTTCGGGAGTATTAAAATACAAACTCATCCTGAATCCTAAGCTACCCAAGGTTTTTGCTGGCTCTGAGTTGATAGTTCTAAAGAAGGTCAGAATTCATTGTGACTATTTTGGGGGGTGGGGGAGTTATTCATCAGGCTTCTTTACTAGTTACCTGGGAAGACTTACAGATGCGGCTCTTCAAAGGAACAGTGTAGCCCACAATTTCTTCACTTTTTCAGCTGCCCAGGGTATTTGCCACTAACATGGATAACAGCTGCTGCCTGAAAACTCCAGAATTGGTTCTGCTAGGCAAGTGGTCTCATTTGAAGATAAGATGCATCAGATAGAAGGTCTCCAAATTCAGTTCCTCTTTCCTCCTTCCTAGGCACCACCTTCTATTTTAGATCCACCACCACAATTAATCTGCTTTACATTTATTTCCTAAGGGCCATGTGTCTGTCAAGAAGTTCCGTAATATTTCCTCCTAGGACCTGCCATGCTGTTATAATTCACTCAAAAGAATTAAACTCGCCATCTTTCTAATTTACCCATGTAGGGGAAAGCACTGAATCTAGTACAAGCCAAGAAGACAACCTCATTATCTGTTAGTTTGTAGTACGAATCTACAAGTTTCCCCTCCCACATCCCAAATCTGAGTATCCCATTTTTTTTCAAATTGCCATTAGCTACAAATGGATAAACCTTAAAAACATTCTCCTAAGTGAAAAGCCACAAATTTTATGGTCCCATTTGTATGAAATGTACAGAGTAGAGAAATCTGTAGAAAATGAAAATTCCTGGTTGCCCAGGGCAAAAAGGGTGGAGGAGAAAGGGGAAAGGAGGGGTCACTCTTAAAGCTGTGAGGTTTCTTCTTGGGATGATAAAATGTCCTGAGATTGACAGTGATGACAGTTTGCAGCTCTGTGAACATAAGCCATTGCATTTTATGTGAATTACATCTTAATAAAGTTGTGAGCAAAAGATGATTTTTTAAAAAGGTAATATTTTATCATGCCAGCCTATTTTATGTGCCAGATCCTCAGCAATTTATCAGACGTTACCAAATAAGACAACTAAAAGGAAATCTCCGAGTCCTTTGTTGCACAAACAGATGGCGTTTGCTTTCATTAAAATATATTTGATAAAGTGGCAGTATGGTTTATTATTCTCAAAAATACTGTGTGTGAGCAAATATGAACTGGGGAAAATGTATCATCCTTAACTATCACACCCTATCATGGGTCTTAATTGTTTTCGGCGGGGGCGGGGGTGTAACCAGGCTTCCTCAGCCATTACGGGGCAACAGGCAGGTGCAGCTCTTCGGATGAACAGTGCAGCACAGACACTGGCACACCTTCACGTCCAGGCACGGTAACCGAACTAGTGCTGTATGTGAATTTCCCTCATTAGGGCATGTGGGCCAGCTTGTTACTCATTTAGTGAGTATGAAAAAACAGAAAAGATGCAGACACTGAAATTAAATGGCAGGAAATTGGTTCTTTAGGAGGATCAATGAGCATGTGATAGTGTCAGGTGTACCCAGTAGCCCGGAGGGAAGCCCTACCTACCTACTCATTACGTGTGGGATGTTATTCCCTGGTGGAAGTTACTTAATGATGAATAATGGCCTTAGACATAATGATTGATGTATCATTACTTGTGACTGACTGCTTTAGATAAATAAGATGGTTCAAAGCTAATACTGTAAAGAAAAGAAAGCAACGATTAGGGTGGACCGGTATGAGCATGTAAGCGGCTGCTGTTAACTTTTAAGTAGACATTTCTGTTTGGTGATTTAAGACATTGAGTCTCTTCCTCCCACCAAGAAAATAATCTAGGAGAAATAAGAGAGTAAAGCAAACCCCCTCTCAGAGCAGTCAGAATAAGAAAGGAGCCCACTCCACTGTCTGAAATAGTGTTGGATGGCAAGACTTACAAGAACCTTTTAAGGTCAGTTTCACTGCCTAAATAAATGAGTTACAGAAAAGAGGAAATCTTCAAGGCCCTGCTGTCAGTGCTAGAAGATGAAAGCCTTGGGTATAGTGAGGTAGGATGAGGTATGGGGAGATGAGGGTGAATCACCCCCATCTTCCCAACTATGAGTAACAGCTGCCATATTGTGGCATGTCCCATAAAGGACACAGTGCCCAGCTGTGTTACAGTTGATTCCTCCCCAAGACATCAAAGGGAAATGACCTGGACCTCTTTGTCCTGACAACATCAATACGTAATCCATCTGTCTTTTCCAGGAAGATTAATGTTTTAATGTACCACATTGTTTTAGATGGCCTTTATCATTCTAGTTAAATTCTGTATTCTTAGAAAAAGACCAGCATAACTTATCCTGGTCTTAATCTCTGCTGGTAAAGTCCGGGGCGACCTAGAAGAAGGGCTAGACTCAAAGATCAGTTTCTTTACTTCGGAAGTACCTAGAGATCTCTCAGGACCTTCCCAGCTATGAAGGTTTCTGAAATCAATAGTGTCTTGGCCCCAAAATATATCAAGTCTTTCAAGAACAAGTTCTAAAATAAGCCTTGTATATGAAATTGTGTTATCCAGAATTCAGTGCTCCGAGTAGTCTAAATCCTGGCCTCTCTACTTGATTCATGGCCTCCCTCAACCTTCCTGACTGATCTTGTCCACACAGCAGCCAGGATCTCATCAGCATTCAGACTGATGTTTATTCTCCCAATGTAAGATACTTGCTGCTGGTTTCATTCAGTGTCCTGTCACCACCTTCCCTTGGCAAGTCAATTCTGTCACTGGTCCGATACCCTTAGCCCTGATATATCTTGGACTTGCACATGATATCATTTGTTCACCTCCCTCCTTTTGCCTCCTTCACAGGATACATCCCCAGCTATCTAGACAAGGATGAGCTCTGCGTAGTATGTGGTGACAAAGCCACCGGGTACCACTATCGCTGTATCACATGTGAAGGCTGCAAGGTAAGAGCCCTGACGGCCCCAGTGTGCTACAGGAACTCAACATTTGAGTCTGAATTAAAACCAAATTTCAACATTGCTGTCCTGTGACCATCCTTTAAGATTATGGTTGTTTTTTTTTTTTTTTTTTTTTTTTGTACTGGGGAATGAACTTGGGTCCTTGCGCTTGCAAGGCAGGCACAGAAACCATTGTGCTAAATCCCCATCCCCAAGTGCTCATTTTTAACATGGTCAGGAACTGCATTTGCCAGTGTGTGAGGTCTGGTTTCTTCAGCAAATGTTTTTCAAAAAGGAAGAGGATCACTAAAATCAAAAGAAATTAATAAATCTTTTACTTTGATTTTTTTAAGAAGCATAAATTTTCAGTACATTATCATCCCAAGAAATTAACAAGCTAAAAGCACACTAATGTTTCTCCTGTTTTATCTCCAAAATTGGAGATAGGGCTTGCTCTGTCACAGGCTGCTTCTACTGTTAATCTGCATGAATGTGCCCATTAAATGTTCCATTAGGAAATATCTTTGAGACTACTTAGGTTCAATTATGTTCTGAAGTTTAACCAAAGTGGCTTTCTGCACAGCCTGCTGTAAGGAGATTCAGGTCATCCATCAGGTAATTGTATTTTCTGCAGACCTTTCTTCAAGAGATACTTAAGAAGAACATACCAGTGAATAGTACATTCACTTCCAAAAGTGAGTCTAAATTTGCCTAGTTACAGTCTTCATCAACAAAATTAACATGAGCTTTACAGAAAATATCTTTTGGACGAACAACCTAGCCTAGAAAATAAGGTCTATCATAAACATGAAGAAAGCTGAACCCAGTGCCATATTTAGCATTCAGCTAATGCTTTATAAATGACACAGTGTGTAAAACCAGAGAAGGACTTTCAAAATTATTTTCCTGTTAAATATTTTATATTTAAAACTTACCAAAGAAGTAAACTCTATAGCAAAAGTTGTACTAAAATTTGAAGAAGAAAAAAAAAATTCCATCTTCCTCCTCTACCTACCTACCTCCCTCTCCACTTCTACTCTTTCTCTCATACCCCCTTTTCTTCCTGCCCTTCCCCGTAAACCCCCGAAGGTAGCATGTTATATTATTTTATACCAAGAAGTGTTCCATTTCCCTAGTAGAAAAATTTCCATCCATATACCCTATTTTTTGTACATGAAATCAAGAAATGCTTAGGAGAAGCCTGCTAAGAATGTTGCAATTATACATGCACTGGAAAGAGGTAATTTCCAAGGTCCCAAGGCCTTTTATCTGCAAAACTGTTATTTAGGATGCGGTGTAATATACTCTCATTCATCCAGACCCCTTTGATCTACATTTTGTAGTACTTTAACAAAGACTAGGCTAAAGAGTGTCATTACAGCTATGAAAATAATGTCTTAACAAGTTTCATGAAGGTAATTACAAGTCCTGGCTATTATTAATTAGAAGACCTGCAACCCCTCTCTTGAAAGCACAGTTTTATTGGTTTGAACTGAAAGTAATAAAACTATATAACTCTAGATACATTTTCTAATTCCACAAGCTCAGTGATTGAAACTGGACTTTGTTTTTTTTCTGTATTAGTCTTAATTTAAAAGGCTTTACCTGCCTGATAATGCAGCATTGAAATTCTTTTAAATCGGCTTCTCATGATACATTTTGAATTCTGGGAGAGAATCAAATGAAAACTGCATTTACTATTTAACTCTACTAAGGGCTAAATGTGCCCTGTAGAGGGCTTCATGCAGCAGATGCAATTGCCCCTAAACAAAGGGAGAATTGAGCCTATTCACTTAAGTTCCTATCTCACTAAAATCAGCTTGCCTTTTCCCCAGGATCCTGGACCTTTGAAGCCTGATTCAGCCGAGGTTTTCTGAAAAGAAAAATCATATAGCAAAGGCTAGGTTTCTCAACCTCTATGTCTGTATCTCAGATGAGAAAAGTACTGTTTCTAGGATTGCCTTCCTCATAAAACCAAAAAGGAGCCTTCCTCGGGTGCTGGAGTGGGAGTCACAGATCATTTACTATGACAAACCATCTTAAAAAAAGACAAGAATTTTTTTTCTAGTGGTGAAAGATGAAAAGGGTTATATTCTATATTATTAACTCAAATCTGCAATTTAAAAATACATCTGCCACAAACAACATGCGCACAATCATTTTTTGCCCATTTTTGCCTTGACAAAAGTGAAATCTTTTGGACAGGTTTTCTCTGTTGTGATGTGCCACTTTTTATACATCTGTTCTAGAAAGAATGTTGATGCTTCCCCACAATAAATTATTTTCTAAGAAAGACCCAAAGCTACCCAATTACCGAACCAGGGAGGTGAATCCTTATCTCACTGATTAGTATATCATCTTGAACCACCAAGAAAAGGATCTAATTATCAGAATGCACAAAAACAAGCCTAGTATTGATTTATAAAGTAGTATTTCTGCTCACCAACAAATCAAAGGAATACATATCCTTATTTATTCCCAAAGATATCTGAATGCACAAAAACAAGCCTAGTATTGATTTATAAAGTAGTATTTCTGCTCACCAACAAATCAATGGAATACATACCCTTATTTATTCCCAAAGATATCTCTTTTTTATTGAGTTTATTGGTACAATCTAGGTCTACAGTACAGTTACATTCATTAATGGGATCCTGTACCTTCACATGACAGGTCTTGGTTCTCATTTTTTCCCCTTGTCCCGCCCTCCCTTCACCCCCTCTTTCCCTCCCCATTTACAAACTTTTTATTTCCATTTTTATCCTTCACATGACAGGTCTTGGTTCTCATTTTTTCCCCTTGTCCCTGCCCTCCCTTCAACCCCTCTTTCCCTCCCCATTTGCAAACTTTTTATTTCCATTTTTACATTTTCTCATATTTTTTCTTTTCCCTTATTATCTTTCCCCTACCCTTCCCACTTTCCCTACACCTTTAGCCCCTATCTTCCTATTTCACACTATCAATTATCTCATTAGGATCTTATGTACTATTACAGTTTTTCACACCAGAGAAACTATTCAGTATTTACACATGTGCGCCTTATTTATTTCACTTAGGAGTATGGCCTCAATATGTATCCATTTTCCTATGAATGACTCTAATTTCTCATTCTTTATGGCTGAGTAGTACTCCATTTTATAGAAAAACCACATCTTCTTTATCTAGTTTCCAACAGATGGGCAGATGGGCTGTTTCCATGTTTTAGCTATTACAAACTGTGACGCTATAAACATTGGTGTGCATATATGTCTGTGGTATGGTTCTTTTAAATCTTTTGGAAAGATACCCAGCAGAGGGATGGCTGGGTCAAACGGAACCTCTAGTCCCAGCTCTTTGAGGTATCTCCACATTGATTTCCATAGTGATTGCACCAGTCTGCACTCCCACCAACAGTGGAGAAGGGTTCCGTTCTCCCCACAACCCCGCCATTTGTTATTGCGTGATTTCTTGATAGCAGCCATTCTTTGTGGGGTGAGGTGGAATCTCATTGTTGTTGTCATCTGCATCTCTCGAATGACCAGTGATGTGGAACATTTTTTCAAATATTTACTTGCTGCTTTTACTTCTTTGTCTCAGAAATGTCTCTTCATTTCAGATACCCATTTTTGAATTGGGTCTTTATATCTGGGGGGGCTGATTATTTTGAGTTCTTTATATATTTTAGATAATAGTCCTTTGTCTGAGGAGCAGCTGGTAAAAATTTTTTCCCACATTGTAGGTTGTCTCTTAGTTCTATTGATGGTTTCTTTTGCAGTGCAGAAGCTTTTCAATAAGATGAGATCCTAATTGTTGATTCTTTCTGCTAGTTCCCATGCTACTAAGGATTTGTTCATAAAGTCTTTTTCTATGCCAATGTCTTCAAGAGTTCTGCCTAAGTTATCTTCCAGCAAGTTTAGTGTTTCTGTTTTAATATTTAGATCTTTAATCATCTTGGATTTTAATTTAGTGCATGGTGAGAGATAAGGGTCTAGTTTTAATCTTTGGCATGTTGAGATCCAGTTTTTCCAACACCATTTATTAAGCTATCTTTCCTCCAGTGGGGATTGTCAGCTCCTTTGTCAAAATTGAGGTAGCTGAGTACATCTGGAGTTGTTTTGTGTCTTCCAGTCTGTTCCACTGATCCTCAGGTCTGTTTCTTTGCCAGTACCATGCTGTTTTTATCACAGTGGCTTTGTACTATAGTTTCAGATTGGGACTTGTTATACCCACTGCCATGTGTCTGTTGCCTAGGATGGCTTTTGCTATTCTAGGTCTCTTGTGTTTCCAAATGAATTTTTGGATTCTCCTTTCTAGTTCTGTGAAATACAGTGTTGGAATTTCCATTGGTATTGCATTGAAACTGTATAGCAGTTTTGGTAGTATGGCCATTTTTACTATGTTGATTCTTCCTACCCAGGAGCAGGGGATATCTTTCCATTTTCTTGTATCCTCTTCAATCTCTTTTTTCAGAGTGCTGTAGTTTTCAGTGTAGAGGTCTTTTGCTTCTTTTGTTAGATTGATTCCCAGATACTATTGTACTATTGTGCTATTGTGAAAGGTGCTATTGTGAAAGGAATTGTTTCCCTAATTTCTCGTTCAGTGAGTCTGTTATTTGTGTACAAGAAAGCTATTGATTTTTAGGTGTTGACCATGTATCCAGCTACTCTGCTAAAAGTGTCAATTAAGTCAAGAAGTCTTTTGGTGGAGTTTTTTGGGTCTTCGATGTAGAGTATCATATCATCAGCAAATAATGATAGTTTAACTTCTTCCTTTCCTATCTTTATTGCTTTAATTTCTTTCTCTTGTCTAATTGCTATGGCTAATGCTTCCAGAACTATATCAAAGAGGAGTGGTGATAGTGGGCATCCTTGTCTTGTTCCCGATTTTAACGTGAAGGTTTTCAGGTTTTGGCCATTTAATATGATGTTGGCTGTTGGTTTTTCATAGATAGCCTTTATTAAGTTCAGATATAGACCATCTATTCCAATTTTTTGCAGGGTTTTTACCATGAATGGGTGTTGAATTTTGTCAAATGCTATGTCTGCATCTATTGAGAGGATCATGTGGTTTTTGTCCTTGACTTTGTTAACATTTATTGACTTATGCATGTTGAACCATCCTTGCATCTCTGGAATAAAAATGGTCAGGATGTATGATCTTCTTGATGATCCTCTGTATTCTGTTTGCTAGTATCTTATTGAGGATTTTTGCATCTATATTCATTAAGGAGATTGGCCTGTAGATCTCTTTTTTCCAAAGACATCTCTTGTCAGCTTTTTTTTGGCATGGGGGTGGGGAGTAGAAATGGTCTGCTGATTGAACTCAGCACCTCACAAATGTTAAGTGTGTGTTTTACTGCTGAGCTAAAATGATTTCTTTTAAATAAGTAAACTATTACAAATGTCTTGTACCAAGTTTACTTCTAGGAGTTAACTTTTGCCATTTGTGAAATTTAAGGGATGTAGCATTTTTACATTTACTCATATGAAATAGACCCTCATTGTATGTATATGTTTAACTATACTTAAGAGAGGCAACAGTATAAAAGGGACGGGGCCCATGAAGCATCCAAGAAAAGTCATCAGAGGTAAGCTACAGAAAAGACAGCACCATGAGTAGTCCAGCAATCCACCACAACCCCTTTATCAAAGTAAGCCCAGTATAAATGACTTCATCACTCTGTTAAAGAGTACACAGAGTAGCCTTTGGGGAGAAAGAGGTGCTACCCTCCTTCTGGCGTATCACACCTTACCTACTCCTCGGTGCTCTCTCACTTTTCAGGAGGCCCTGGTCCCCCATTCCCCTATCACAAGCAGGCATCAGAATGTGCAGAAGAAAATGTCTCTGCAGTTTCTGACAGACAAACCCTTCTCCTGTCCTTATAGCAGCACTCAGCCCTCTCTTTTGCTTGCTGCCTTGGATTGTGGTGTTTCCCTCCCTGGAGAAAGGTGGCCCCCTCCAGGAGGGGAGTAATGGCCTGCCCCTCCCCGATGTTTTCGCTGCCAGGAATCTGGGTTTCTTTTGCCCTCCTCTACTCTCCTTGGACAGAGAGGGGCACCCAAAGGAGAGCAATGCACAGAAAGGCATATTTTCAGTCATGTGATACATTCTGACATTGATGTTTTGGCGGGATTTACCCACACTGAAGACCCAGGGAAACACTGCCAACATCCCATATGGATGCCACACAGGATTCCATAATCCTGTAACTGTGTGTCTATAGGCTCACACACTCAAGTGTTTCACGATGCAGAATACAAATATAATATGATAGTTTTTCTCTTAGTTCTTGAACAGTGGAAATGATAAAGGATTTATACACATGTCCCCAAATAAATTTACAAGTCTCAGCTTTACCTGGTGCTTTCACAGTTTGTTTTGTTTGGGGCCTTTTTATTATAAGGAAGAGCTTCTCTGTGCAAGTGGGCATATACATATATACATAACCTAAGTTTAAAAAAAATGAGATAATGAAAATGTGGGCTAGGCTGAAGGGAGGGCAGGGGCATGGGGAAAAAATAAGAACCAAGACATATGATGTAAAGGTACAAGATCCCAGTGACAAGTGTAACTGTATTGTTTGCTTTAAATGTACCATTAAACTTAAGGGAGGAAAATGTGGGCTAAAGCAAGACCAGTTGATATTTCAAGTCCACCATCTATACAGCAGAGAGGCCTCCTTCACATTTTAGCAGAGAATTGCTTAAAACCTTGCTAATCTACCAAAACAAATAAATTGGAGGTTGTTGATATTTCAAGTCCACCATCTATACAGCAGAGAGGCCTCCTTCACATTTTAGCAGAGAATTCCTTAAAACCTTGCTAATCTACCAAAACAAATAAATTGGAGGTTTTTTGAGTGTTGGCTGGGAGAGGTCTGTTTATAATCTGTTCATGTAAATCATACAGTAAACTCACTTCATTTTACGTTACATAAACAGTTAAGCAGTGAGAACTGGAATTCGTGTCTTGTGCGGCTAGCCAAGTTCCAGCATGCAGTTAGCATGACTTGAAGCAAGTGATTTAACCTAAGGTTTCACTTTCTCATCTCTACAATGTAGATATTAAGAGTACTTCCCTTATAAATTAGATTGTGAGAAAGAGAGGAGGATTTGGAATGCATCCAACAGCCCTTTGCAGTATACTCACAGTGAGTGCTCACTGCCCTTACTAATTCTGCAATTCAGAATATAGTTGCTAAGCCATAGCGATCACGTGCACAAAAGCTCTAATAGGACCACCTGGAGAATGTCAAATAGGTCACCACCCAAACCTAGAACTAAATAGTATTCTTCAGAAAGGAAGAAACATACTGAATTTATAGGTATATGTCTAAAGATACCAGAGTAAAAGAGGATGTGAAAACAAAAACTTTGGTGCAATCGGTTTGGGGAAACATGTGATGGTAAATCTGGAGAGTGTTTGAAAGACTGAAGGCCATCTCAAAAGCCCAAACAGACAGGCACGGTACTACTGAGCTACATCTCTAGTCCAATGATTATATTATTAATTCATAAGTTATCACAAGTATCCAGCTCTTTCTTTTCCTAGTATAACTTAGTAAGACTCCTCATAGCTTATTTTAGCAGCATAATTATAACATGCTATGAAAAATAATATATATTATTCAATGCATAGAAAATAAAACCAAGCACTAGATTTTTCCATTGGCTTCATTTCCCTGAATAAAATCCAAAAAGGTCTTGACTCTGCAGTCCTGTGATGTCTCCTTCAGCTCGTTAGAGTCTCTTTAGGCCTACTGTCCCATATTAGAGGAAGGAGATAAAACAAGAGGCCCACATATATATTAAGGCCCAAAACAGTGCATCTCATAATTATGTGGTCTCACAATTCCAGCATCATTTATTTTTCAGAAAATATGAAACTGCTTTTTTGGATCTTTCTTTCTCATGTAGGGTTTCTTTAGAAGAACCATTCAGAAAAATCTCCATCCATCCTATTCCTGTAAATATGAAGGAAAATGTGTCATAGACAAAGTCACACGAAATCAGTGCCAGGAATGTCGCTTCAAGAAATGCATCTATGTTGGCATGGCAACAGATTGTAAGTAGATCATCTTCATTGGATTCATATTCAAGGAGTGTTCATTGGGGAAGAATTTGGTTCACGCTCCACCAGGAAGAAAGACAGAGAAGGGAATAGATGGTGTCCCCAACCCACATCCAGGCTTGCCATCCAGAGGAGTGGGAGCCATTGCCATTTGGGTTTTGTCCTACTCCTGTCTTAGCAACTTTTGTGTTTGTTTGTCTGTTTTGTACCAGGAATCAAATGCAGGAAGGCAGGTGCAGTGCCACTGAGCTAAATCCCTGGCCCTATCAACTCTTAACTTTCGAAGCATGCAGATGATGAGGGCAGTGAAGTGATCAAATGACCTCTGTAGTATTTTTAGGGTGGGCTGTTGGAACCACTGCAACATGTTATAAATGAGAGGTCTCGACCCCTTCAACTTGGTAAGGTAATTCTCATACACAGGGTTCATGTGGTAAGAGCCTCATGGTCTAGTTCTCATATTTTTAAAGCAAAGCCATGAATTATTTTACAGACATTTTTAGAGAAAGGGCAATGGCAGAAAATGTTCAGGACATTTCTGAAGAATTCAGAGTTGAATGCTATTACATGAAGCATCCTTCACCTGGTTGCTTTTTATACCTCTAGCCATAAAGACACTGGAGCTGAAGTTGTCCTGCTGCAATGCCACAGTATATGGTAGCGAGATTAGCCCTTGGAGTCTCTCCTTCCCTCTGTGTGAGGGACTGACACCAGTCTCCTTAATCATACCACGGAGAATCATGTTCCTCACAAGGCTGCCCTTTTGTCAGGCACTGCTATTAATGATTTCTACTGCCATAAACTTTTGCACTTCAGTGAGAGGGATCCCAACTGTTAGCTAAAAATTAAAAAGGAAAGAAAGAGAAAATGCAAGGAGAATTTTTTTCTGATATGAGGAAATAATCACGCTTATATGATAAATAGAATTCTCTCTCAGAAAATAAAAATCTATGGAATAACCTGTTTTGCATGATGGGGGAGACAGAATGGAGACTCATTCAAAAGGAAAAGGCTTGTGTCATGGTGTGAGGGAGAAAATCCTGAGTTAATCTCCACCTCTAGCTGTGTCTGTTCCTTATCTTTTAAAGGCTTTAGCCTTGCCAACAATGTGCCTGATAAGGACATGTGGCTACGATTAACTCAGACCAAATGCTTAGATATGTTACTATAATGAACCATTGTGATTGATCATCTATTTACTTAAGAACTTTAAGATATGAGCATTTATGAGATTAAGAAACTCTGATAATCCAGATTGTGTGGAGAAAAAAAAAACCGAGGTGTTCCTGACTTGTTTGGGAGGCATTTAAAGAGCCCAGGGATTATAATAAAAAGAATAATCTGAGTCTCAGCACTGCCAGTTACTAGCTGTGTGGCCTCCAGTATTAACCCTTAGGAAGGTTGTGTCCAGGATTCTATCAGATATTAATGTCAAGTGTAACAGACTCTGACACACTAGAAGCACTTAAGCAACGTGGCTCTGTCTGTTTTTACCCTTTGCTAAAAGAACCACAGTGACTTAACAGGCCTTGTTAATACATCTTACAGCTATAATGCTCATTTTGACAATCCAATCCAGTCTACATTACTGGGGTTTAGTATTCTGTTTGTGGGTTATCTGGGTACCTTGATTTTCTTCCTCCTGCTACGTCTGCCTCCCCCCAGGGCCAGGGATTTAGCTCAGTGGCACCTCGCCTGCCTTTCAAACACAAGGCCCTGAGTTCAATCCCTGGTACAAAAGAAAAAGAAAAAAAAAAGTAGAAAGAAATGTTCCCAGAACATGATGTTATAGAATTGGAGTCAGGAGGCCTGGGTCTGGCTCTGCCATGAACTTGCTCTCTGACTTCAGACAAGTTATCGCCTCTCTGGTTCAATTTCCTCCTCTGTGAAAGGAGGAAGTTGGATGACATCTAAAGTCCCTTTTGGTTCTAAAACACTGTGATTTTGCAACTTCCTATTCCAATGATAGTAACTTTACAAGAGACTAGTAAAATGGTTTTAAAAATTAACCATGGAAGTACATGTTTCTTATTACCAGCTCTTATTTCCCTTTTGCACAAGTAATAAAAGTTATGGTTATTTTTACCGAGCCCTTACAGTGCATTATAACATTTAGTGCCTTACGCAGAGTATGACTGATCTCATTTCACTTAGGAAAAAATGAAAGAAAGCTCAGAGCGTCTAAGTACCTTTCCAGAGGTCACAAAGCCTGAAATATTCAAATCCACATCTTCCTAGAGTCTGAAACCTGGGCTCCTTAATTACCATTGCGAGTTGACCAAGTAAGAAGTAGTGTGAAATGAGTATCTGAAGCCCAAGACCAGCCCAGCATGTTCTAATTAGCCCTAAAGGGAACCAGGGAAGAGTTGGGGTCCTTTTCCCCTGAGAAGGGAACCAGGAGCCTCCCCTTACAACTTCACCATTTCTCTTTCACCCAAAGTCTCCTTACAAAGAGCCACTTTAAGAAAGGAAAGGAGAACAGTGGCCATGAGCGTGAGTTCGATGACTGATTGGACAGATTTACCTGTGACCCTGCAGGCAGGACAGAGTTCACTTCCCTCTGCCTCACTCTTTTCTAGGGCTCCCTTCTGTGGAGTTGGAGTTCCCAGTGCCCAAGTTCCCCAGAGCTTTATTTTAGAAAGCTGACTGGGCACTGGGAATTGGGTACAAGGCCTCATGTTCCACAATGGCTGACCAGTAGCAAAGGCCCCAATGGGACCTAACCTCCCCCCTAAGAAACCCACTGGGCCACTTGTGCCTCAGCGGCCCCCACCCCAGAGGCTCCAGGATGTGCGGTCTGCCACATGTTGGGAATATCCATGTGTATCCTCACCTTTCTCCCTCCCAGTGGTGCTGGATGACAGCAAGAGGCTGGCCAAGAGGAAGCTGATTGAGGAGAACCGGGAAAAGAGGCGGCGGGAAGAGCTGCAGAAATCCATAGGGCACAAGCCAGAGCCCACAGATGAGGAATGGGAGCTCATCAAAACTGTCACTGAAGCTCACGTGGCCACCAATGCCCAGGGCAGCCACTGGAAGCAAAAACGGAAATTCCTGGTAAGGTGTCCTTGTAGGTGCTTTCTTCCTGGACTCAGTGAGTCCACAAAATCCTGGGCTGCTCAAAATCCTGTGAGTCCTCATCATGCTGGGTGATGCCAGGTTTCACTGATAGAGGAACTGCAACTCTGATGGGACAAGGACATTGAAGTAATGAGTTCTAAGGCCAGTTTTGAACAAACTAGTGAAATTTGCTGTCTACTAGCTTTCCCTTTTTTATTTTCTTCTCTCAGATGCCCAGTAGGTACATGCTTAGTCCACTTAAGATTCCTCCAAAATACCATTCTCCTTTAGAATAACTTTTAGGGTAAGGTGTCCCATACCTCAAATGTGTTTTTATGTCAACAGAGCTCCAAATTTTTAGCTTGAATTAATGAGATTGAGTCCAGAAAGACCGTGGAAATGAAGAAATGGGGATTCGGAGAGGGTGTGCAGAGAAGACAACCCTTTCCAGACCCTTAGAAATATTGGTGTTTCATAGTTTTGTACAAACTTGCACTTGTGAAAGCCTTTCCCATTCACTTCTCACCTAGTCTTCAGAATGTTTGGAAGGAGGTGGGAATTTCTATCCTCATTTCACAGAAAATGCAAACTGAGCCAAGTTCACACCGGTAAAAATTGACTCAGCTGGGTCCAAAAGCCATCTCAGCTCTTTTGGTTCCAAATCAGGCTCTGCGTGAACCTCATTAGGTGGACTACCCACCTCCGCCCACGTCTGCCCCCCTCAGAGACTAACCCTGCTCCTAGGTAGTGACCGGAAGCCCTTTATGAGGATGTTGCTGAGTTCCGATATCGGGTGTCCTGCAGGGCCACTTGCATCCCCAGGGAGTAGCAGAGGACCTCCTCACCTGGAATCCTGTTTGGGTTTTTTTGTTTTTCTTTTGGTGTGTTTGTTATCTGGGATCAAACTGGGCACCTTGCCCTTGTGAGGCAGGCAGGGGCACCACTGAGCTAAATCTCCAGCCTAGGACCTCCTCATCTGAACACAGAGATACAGCAATAGAGTTATCCTCGTACCTCAACATGAGTGTTACAATGAAATAAGTCTTTTGTTGATATCACAACTTTATATATAATCCACCTGCCCTGAAGTAATTTCTCTTGGTCTCAATGAGATGATAATGCCAGCACTTTGTTAATGGCCTTCACTAATAACAGTGTTATCAAATCCTTAGATGATAGTCTTAAGTGTTTTGCATACATTGACTTCCTGTACCAACCCTAGAGGTAGATAATGTTGGTATCTCCACTTTACAGCAGAAAGCTAAGAGAGATGTTTAGGAAACCCATCCAACCTCCCCCAGGTAGTACATGGCGGCAACAGGTGCAACCAGCCCCGGGCTCTTCACTCTTGTCACTATGCCATGCAACTTGCCATCTGCACAAACCCCAAAAGCCTCTGAAAAAAACAAGCACCTTGCAAGGGCAGCCTCATGGTACATTCACCTTGCATCCCCAGCCTCCCCCACTGTATCTTCCTGGAAATTAAAATGACACTCATTCTCAATCAATAGATCAGCATTACCCAGTATATTCAGGACAGAGGAAGACAAGAGTCCTGACTGACCACAAGCTTAGGTCTCTCATTTCCCTCATTGTGTCAGCCACAAATGGTTCACCATTTCCAAGCCTGGTGTTACTTTCTTATTTCAACTAGTGCACAAGTAGTGAAATTCAAGCTGAATTCAAGTCCAGGGTAAGACATGGAACCAATTTTAGACTTCCCCTAGAGAATTTTACATTTTTTGTTTTTTTTTACTTCTGAAAAACAATGGTTACTAGTCCCAGTAGTCACTAACGGTAGTCATTAAACCAACTTCAGTGGCAATTAAGGTGCTTCTTTTCCGATTCTCAACATTTATTATTTTATTTAAGAAACATTTATTGAACATCTAATACATGCCAGAAAGTAAGTCAGCCACATTGCAGTGGAGGGAATAGACAATAAGGCCTAAACAAGATAAATACAGGTAGTGAGAAGGCAAGGAAAACAATAAACCACATGACAGAACAGAGTGTTTGTGAACTGGAAATGGAGAAGAACTTCATTTGTCTAGACAGGAATGTGCAGACAGAAAAGGGCTCTCCAAGGAGGTAACATTTGAGCTGTGACTGAAAGCTGAGAAAATTAACCTCTAAGAAAACATTATCACATCTCCCCATACCTCCTGATCCCCTTAGCAAAGATAGCATTGAGGTCTGTACCTGCCTGTGACTTATAAGCTCCAGATAGTCTTCACTGATCTGATGGAACCAAAAGAGTGTGGCACAGAACGATTTTTCTTTAAGAAACTTATAATTTAGAGCAAGTGTTTTATATACCAGTCTCCCTCCCCATGGAGCTGTCATACTTTTGTAGATCCTTGATCTGTTCAAGAAATTGTCACTCTTGATCCAAATATAAATAATTTCCTCTCCAAGCCAAGTATTTCTAGAGTAGTCCTGGGGAGAGACGAGAACTCCTCCACTCTCCCACCGGTCTCTACAATGCATTTTATGTGCAGCAGCCAATTGCCTCCTACTCTGTGTCACTCCTGCACCTCCTGTGTGCAGAAACCACCTTCCCCTCAGTATTAATACTTCACTGCCAGCTCCATATGTGGCTGGAACTCGTGGCTGGAACTGCCCTTCAAGATGGCTGCCATTCCCACACTCTTCCCTGTATACACAGCCAGTTCGATGTCTTCCTTCTGTCCTGGAATCTGAGCTATTCTGTGATTCCTTTAAACGATGGATTTTGGCAGAAGAGATGCTTGAGTGAATGACTTCTAAGTCTTGGCCATAATAAGATTTGTAGTTCCCATTTGGGTCCTTTGGAGGTGGAAACCAACTCTTACTTAAAAATGGCCAAGTATTCTAAGATAACCATGTTGTGAGGAAGCCCAAGCTAGCTACATGAGATAGACAAGATTCTTAACCAACCCAGGCACCAGAAAAGAGAGGAAAGAAGCTTCCAGTGACACCAGACTATACAGCCATTTGATGTCAATGGTATGAGGGACAACAAGTAAGACACCCTTGAGCCCCAAGTTGTGCTATCAACCCCTAGAACACCAAAAGATCATTTGGAAATTGTTGTTTTAAGCCATTGTGTTGTGGAGTAGTTTGTTACACAACAATACATAACTAGAATAGAACTGTGTGTGTTTGTGTGTGTGTGTGTGTGTGAGTTAGGTTGAACATACAATTCCGCTGGCCTGTCCTCGGAGACAGTACAGTTAAGCTCTTGGTCCCAGTGAGTTTATATATTTAAGATACTACATGTAGAGGGATAACTTTATTCTTCTGTTTGCAATAACATTAAGAATCCTTACTTGAAGACAGCCTTGCTAAATGCTGTCCATGTCTGAAAGGTCCAGGGATAGATGGGCTTTTACATTTAGAATTTGTATCTCGTGTATGGTTAGATGGCCCTTTTTGGGCTCGCAACACTGCTACACTTATTATTTCATTGATTTTTGTGTGTTGCTATGCCATCTTGTTTTGAAGAATAATATGCAAATATCTATTATGTTAATAATGGTATAGTGATACGCCATGAGAGATTAAAAAGTACACCTTGTCATAAAAGCTAGAAGTATTCATTTTGCTGGAATATGTTAGTTTATTCCCCCAAAGGAACTACTTCATCTCTTTCCACATGAGGACTAGAAAAATGGACTGGTGGTTGGACTTTGGTTTTAAATCTTCACTACAGTCTTTGGCAAGTGAGGAACTTTGGCAAAATCATGCAGATTTTCATAGAGCCATGCATTAAAATGACTTCAAAACACATTTAAATCATGTAATTTTCTAGTTCTCACCAATCTACTCAAATATGAGGCTACATAAATGCCAAGTTTTACCACCAACGATTTATATGATGGTGATGATAGAAAGGCAATGTGGGCTGAGAAGGAACAAGCAGCATCCAATGTCAAACAAGGGAAAGCCGGTCTCTCCATCAAGGGTAGCTCACTGCTATACCTCCCCGTGTGGAAAGTCATTTGCTTTGGCATAAACTGCATGGCAGCAACAGTCTTGCTCTTCACCACTGTTAAAATGTGTTGACACGGTCTCATTATTCTCGGCTTGGTTCATATGCAAAGGAGTGGCTTTGTGTGGACTTTCTACCAAATGTTAAATGTGACCATTACAATCAGGCCAAGCCTGCCCAATTTTCCCTGGCAGACTCACTCTCTGATCTCCCATATTCTCAAGTGGGGCAGCCTCAGAGAGAGGGCATCAACAGATAAGGTAAGGTGAGTGATCAGACCTTGTTTGAACAGGTCATAGGCCAAGGGCAATCAAGTCAGGAAGGCATGTATCACCCACAATGGTCATTGCTGCAGGAGAAGACTGGGGAGCTCTGTAGTCAATGGACAATGGAACCAAACAGCTTGGGCCTGGCTCTTGCCTTACTGCTTTCTACTTGTGTGACCTTGAACAGGTAATCTCACTTCTGTGAAGCTCAAGTGCCTTGGGTCTTTAACCAAATAACCAAAGCAGAAGTTACACAGGATCTAACAGTGCCTGGCTTATTGTTAACAACCACACATGCAGTTACTGTATGCATCATCCCTACCTATCACCTTTGCTATCTTTCTGGCTATGCCAGGAAAAGCGTGAGTCTGATGTCACATCACAAGGCCCCAGAACCTTGAATCACCACATCCTCTTGCCTAGCCTTGCAAAGGGGCAAGAAGACTGGAGAACAAGCAGAGGAAGAGTCCCATCTGACCCCACCCTACTTTGCATGTGCCAAAGAGCTACCAGGTCAAGCCAAGACATCCTTGGCTCTAAGCCAGTCACCTTAGAAGAGGTCAACTGGCCATATTTCCTACTTACCTTGAACAGCACCCATGCAACAGTCAAAGGAGACCCAGCTAGTCAACACTCAACGCAGCTTCCCTGAGTGCTGAGCAAGGGCCAATGCCACACCTACACACACCCTTCACTCTTTTTCACACCTATCCCCCTGCCTGGGTGAGTCACTCTGCATCCCTCACCCACATCCAGAGCATCTTCAGTCCCCAAGACATGTCTCAAATTCTTCTGCTTCTGTCCACCCTGCCACCCACATCAACCAGCCTATTTCAGCCCTACTGATATTGCCAGCCACTGTTTTCCTGTGCTGCATCCCGTACACACATGACCATAAATCCCACCATGCTTCTGTCCTGTTCACAGCCTTTTAGTGGATGCCCCCTCTGCATTTAGAATAAGCCCAGGTCCTCTCCCTGTCCACAGGATCTGGCATGATGGGACCCTGCCTCCTTCTCTTCTTCAACTCAGGTCTTTGCTGTGCTCTTGCCACATGGGTCTCTGCAGACTTGGCATTGGCTTTTCCCTCTGCTGTAGATGTTCTTTCTCTGTCTTTTTGGAAGACTACCTCCTTGACTTGATTTAGGTCAAGCCCACACACTGTTTCTCAGTGGGGCCTTCGCTGACCACCCTATCTCTGTGCAGTACCTCCAGTCTTATCACAAAGTGAAATTCTTTGATGGATGTCTTTTGTCACTACAATGCAAGTTCCTTGATGACCCATTGTTCATTGCTATAATCTCGGTATCTAATATATAGTCTAGAACTAGATCTGGCTTATAGTACTTGGTTGGATACATGTATGAATGATCATTTATTCATTCACTCAATCATTAAACGTTCTACCCTCACCATCTGCCCAACATCTTGTACATAGCAGACAAAGATAGAGAAGGCTCGTCCCCCAACTCTTTGAAAAATTTGTATCACTAATATGTACCTATATATAATAACAACAATAAAAATGATATAATAAATGCCTAATGCCATAGGAGTGATAATATGTGAGCCACCATGCACGTCCAGGAGAGGTATGTATCATTTCCAACTGAGGTCACCTAGAAAGAAGTCGAGAAGACAGGATTTTGACTTGGGTCTTGAACAATGGATAAGACTTGGAATGGACAAAGATGAAAGACAGAAGTGGAGACATCAGCAAAACAGAAAAGTGTAAAGCAAGTTGTCGGGGAGACATAAAGTCCACTGGGCTGGACGCATAGGTCCACTTAGGGCAAAGAGGAGTCATGGTGAGAGTTGGAAGGCCCCCGTGAGCTAGCAGTTGGGCCCACAGAGGCACAGTCAGGCCTTCCCCACAGTTTTGCACTGGTGAGTCTACACTCCAGAGACGTATCATCAGTACCCGGGTTGATCAAGCACATAAGGACATACTGTATAGAAGAGCAAATGTGTTTTATGTGGTGGTATACAAGGCTATAATCAGATATCTACAGAATCAGATATCTAACATGGTCAAACGATGTTGAATTGTGTGTTGTCCTTATCAGGAAAAAATCTGCAGGAAAGTCACAAACAGGGTTGCATTACTCTGCCTTAATTTCTCATACCTGATACAAACTTGTGTTGATTCATAGATTGTACAGCTGTATAATTTTTTCTACCCTATTATATATTTTTCAAGAGAAAAGTTCCTGAAGTTATATCTCAGGGGTTAATTGCAATTAAAGTTGCTATATTTCTTTACATAATTTCACTTATTTTTTTTTCAAATCTTTGGAGAAGTTACAGGTAGTGAGTCAATTACCCTATATACCCAAAGAATAAATGGAATTAACTAACATCAGCATTAACTCACTGATATTTCAGATAATATGGAATTTTTCATTTAAATATAAACAGATTATAGCCATCCATATTCTTGCGTTCAGCTGGGCCAAAACCACATTATTAAATATTTTTATTTCTAAGAAATGTTCCTGCATATATAAAATGTATATCACACATTAATTCTCTATTAACAAGCTATTTATTTTGAATGTGTACCCACATTCCTTTTATCAGTTGGTCTTGCTAAAGGACTTGTGAAGTAGACAGGAAACATGGGATGAGCCTCAAGTTCAAAGTCAAGAAGGAATGATAAAGACCAGCAACAGGTCTGAAGGATGCAGGGAAGAGCAGCAGCCAAGGGGAAAAAAAAAAGGATGGAGAGAGGTGTAGCTATGCATTATTCCATCCATTCTCTGTACATCTAGAAAGGCTGAAAATTAGGAGCCTTTCATGGGTTTGTCATGTCTGCAGTGACCCAAAATGTTGTCATTCACCCTGAAAACACAACAGCAACCAGATTTCACCCACTTACCCACTGCACCAGAACAAACTAAACTCTGAAGAACCTGTAGATAAAGAGGTAACTGCTACCAGCAAGTACCATGTCATGTGACAAGTTTACAAGTCCTGCCTGAGGCTGGACGCATGGGGCCTACTGTTTCTGTTTTCCCTGGTTGGAGTCACCCTACAAGAAAGAGGCTCCTATGCTGCTTTTTCTCTACTAGAAGTGAGGTGTGAGCAGCACCGGGATATGTGGGAAGAGCCATGGCCATTGGGCTTCTCCAAGCTGGCTTTAGTTGCTGCCATCCCAGGGTTCCTAGAGTGTGACCCAAGACTACCAGTGCCAGCATACCCTAGAGACACTCATTAGAAATGCAGGTTCTCTGGCTCTACCTCTGCCCCACTGCATCAGCAGTACTGGGAGTGGGACCCAAATATCAGGGGCTCATGATGCACAGTAAAATGTGGGGACTGAGATATCAATCAGATTCTTGACATAGTGAGTGTCCTCACTACTCTGCTAGGGAGGGGTTGGGTCCTGCTCACCTCTCTCCCAGTGTCAGTTCCTCTTCCCTTTCACTCCTGCCCACCCTCCCCAGCTTCATCTTCTGGGTGCCTAAAAGGGACCAGGCCTTGTTCAGGTCTATTCCCAGTAGCTTCTAGGCAATGGTGACCACCATCTAACAGGCCTCAGGTCTGTGCTCTCCTCTTGACAGTTATACTTCCTGATCAAGGCTGGAGGGGCTTTCAGGGGAGTAATAGGAGTACAGGGTCTACTTCCTTTTTTAGAACCTGTTCAGGGAGTGTAAGCCTTGCTGTGGAGCTGGGAGATGGGACACACAGAAAGGGTACTAGACAGACTCATAGCCACCCACCTCCCAGCCCAGGGCTCATCCAGACATTATTACTCTGCCTGACCTCTGCCTTGCTGATCCGTAAACCAGGTCTTGTGTGAGGATTACCTGACATAGAGTAGTGTGTGCAGGAGCTGACTCACTTGTAGGCCACAAAATAAATGGTTAACAGTATCACGAAGATGAGAGGGCATTAGACAGAACTGCTCCCGAAAGCAAGCGCAAGGTGACAGGATGGCTCCTGTGGACCTGGGGAGCCCAAGGTGCACACAAGTCCCATGGGGCCCTGGCTAAAATGCCAACTCTGCAACATCAGGTCTGGGGAGGGGCCTGTGTCCCTGGATGACACCCGTGCTGCCACTTGCCTCTTGAGCAGCAAGGCCATGGATGGTTCCTGAGCAAGTAAACAGCAGAGCAGTGCCCCAAAGACAGCATTAGTATATTTCCACTCTGCCCTAAGGTTGGCCACATCCACCCAGCTCAGCTCCCTACAGGAAGCCTCAAGATCAGCCCCCATAGTGCTCAGCTGAGACCACCTTAAACTGGAGTCTGAGGGCAAGGAGGAAGCAACTTGGGTCCCAGCCAGAAGGAATCCCGAGGTGCTGTTTACTAGGTGTCCCTGACCCTGCCTCTGCCTGCACTGTGCCCACCTCGTCCACTCTCACCAGAATGCTCTGAAAATGCCCTACCACAGCCGGCACGACGATGTCACCATACACCTTCAGGTGCACAGAAGCAGAACACAAATTCCTTCTTCCTCCTCCCCCCACCTGGACATTATCCTTGGGGGCCAATTAAAGCAATGACCAAGACATACATTTCTGCGCAAGGAAATAAATGATGTAAATGAGGTGAACACCATATAATTTGTGAATAAAGAAGGTGGAAATGAAAAACTTCAACAAATGTCAGTTCAGAAGAAATTCTCTGCCACGGGTGAATGAGAATAAATCAAGCTCCCTTCAGCTTCTGCCCTTAAATCTTTGTTTCTCCTCCTTAGCCAGAAGATATTGGACAAGCACCGATAGTCAACGCCCCAGAAGGTGGCAAGGTCGACTTGGAAGCCTTCAGCCATTTTACAAAAATCATCACACCAGCAATCACCAGAGTAGTGGATTTTGCCAAAAAGTTGCCTATGTTTTGTGAGGTGAGTACACTGTTTTTCCTTCTGTGTTATTTCTCATTAGAGTTCTATGAATTTCCAGGAGTACTGGGAATTGTTTATAATTTACTATTAACTAGCAGGATTTCGTCATCCGAAAGCAGCGTCAGTGCAGTGCAAACACACTTTATCTCATGCACATGTCCCCACCTGCTCTCCTCTGCCACCACTCATTAGCCTGTCCATGGAAGGGCCCTTTAGATCCTTCTATGCCCGACTCCAGGCCTCAGGGAATAAAATCCTAATAAGATATTTGACTTTGCTAGCACTAATCCCAATCCTTATGACAGACTTACAGGGCAGATTTTTTAGATCCCACTTTACAGATGGGCCAAATTACAATCAAAGAGATTAAGCTGATTTACCTAAATGTACCATGGTTTGAACCTAGGTCTATATTCTTTCTACAACATATCCCAGCAAAAAAGCTGCATGGTGTTCTTAATCTTCAAGAATAAAATCCAGTAATCCTGACGAGAGCAAGGCTATGATATCACCTTGAGTCTCATCTTTCTCTATAAACTCGCTGTTTCTTGCCCCATCTCCAGTGCAGTGCACAGGGCTCACCCACCAGAGCACACAGAGACTCTCCCTCGGGGACATTTCCTCCCACACTCAGCTGTCCTGTTGTGTGGCAGCTGAGGGCACGGGCTTTGCAGTTGGCTGTGTGGATGAGAATCCTAAACGAGATACTTAATGTCTGTGATCCTCAGTGATCTTGTCTTTAAAATGGGAATTGTAATAGTGTCTTGAGCTGTTCAAAGTTCAAACGGGATCATCTATAAACAGTGCTAAAACAGCGCCTGGGTCTAGTGTTCCATGAATTTTAGCTGCCCGTACTGCTGTTATTTCAGCTATGACATTCCCAGCCTGCCTTTAACTTTTTTTTTTTAATCAAGAGGGGTTGTGTTTTCAAAAGACTCCATCAGGTGACAGTCTGTTGCTCTTCACACCTTCCAGGGGACCCAGAAAGATGCCATGTTAGAGATCACACACTGCTGTGACCTCTCCATAAGCTACCTGAGTGACGCGTGACGCAGTCTCAGCTAGGGAAAGGCTGAGTTTCCCCACCTGAAATGGCTCCACGCTGCCCCGGCCTCCAGCTCATCAGTTCTCTTGTGTTTGCAGTAACGGGAACACAGCTGAATTCAGAGCAGCCTCAGACACTGAAGGGAACACTTCCCACTGCCTACATCTGCGCCTCCTCCAAAGCCATACCCACAAGGACAGGACTGTGCCTTTAGGACATTAGTGTCTGAGACCTTTGCCTAGCTCAGAGAGACAGAGACAGAGACAGAGACACAGAGACGGTGCGCATGAGAGAGAACACATTTGCCTCCCCCTGGTCCCAGCTTCACCGCCCTGGGAGTTAGGTATCTGAGTCAGTTCAGGCTGCCATAACAAAATGCCACAGAGTGGGTGGCTCATAAACCACAGAACGTTATAATTCTACAAGTACAAGATCAAGATGCCCGAAGATTCTGTGTCTGCTGAGGGCCTACCTCCTTGTTCTCTGACTCTTCATACTGTGTGCTCTCTTGGTGAGAGGCACCAAGGAGCTCTCTAGGGTCTCTTTTATAAAGACACAAATTGTCTACATGCCTTATGACCCTATGCCCTGCCCTAGGACATTGTCACTTCCCAGTGCCCACAGCTCCAGGGTTATCACATCAGGGATGAGGCTGCAACACAGGGATTTTGGAGCAGCAAAACATGTAGCCCACAGTGCTACCCACAACCTGCAGTCGGGGTGGCTCATACCCAGGTGGAGGAGTCCGTGAATTCTGAAACAGGCATTCTGACTAATCTCTTTATTCAGTGTGGAGGTTTGTATGCCTCTGGCATCTTTTTTTAAAGTTATTATTTATAAAAATTTTGGAAGATATTACAAAAACAACACATATTCACTGAGACTTTACACAACATAGTAAAATAAAGGTAATGATTCATTATAACACCGCCAGCAATCTGGAACTTACCTTGGTCTTTTTTCAGAGAGATGAGGTGTGAGCAAAAAGGACAGTGAATACTTAATTTTTTAAAGTGTATTACAGCAAAAGACACATCGTCATTAATCCCCCTCAGAATATTTCTTGTCACTTAGAACACACTTACCTATGATGACTGCCACTTTCTGAGGCAGTTTTGGAAGTCCTCTTTCCTGAATATCTTTAGCTGTTCCATCCTGGCTGCCTCAAGTGTCCTGAACTAACTCAAAATGTTTACCTTGCATGGTCATTTTGAATTTGGCAAAGAGCCAGAAATCACATGGTGCGAGAGCCAGGGAAGGAGATGGTTGAGGATGAATGAACTGTGACGCTTCACGAGCTGCCGTCCCGTTACGTGCACTCTGCTGCAATGTTCACCACATTTTTATGACACCTCAGAAGGGTATCTGCGAGAGGACTTGCAGAATTGCTTCAGAAAGTGGCAAGGGGATAAGTGTATTCAAAGTGAGGGAGACTATTTGAGGGAATTAATGGTAATGCGTCTTTTATTGTAATGATTTTTCATTTAAATAGTTACAGTATATTTGATCACCTCTATCATAAGTGTGCAGTACATAAACTCACCCCTGTAATCAGTATCAAGATCCAGAAGCAGAATACTGCCCACAGCCCATTGCACCTGACTTTACGCTCCATGGTGGGATCTATCACCTAAGTGTTCTTTCAAAAATGACTTTTAGGGACCATATAGTGTTCAAAAAAGTGGGGCTACCATAATTCTTCTCACTGGGTCAGTAATTCATTTCCAACCTACAAGCTCCAATGACCATACTAGCAACTGTGCTCTGCTAGTATAACTAATCCCTAAGGGTAAATCCTAGACACTGAATTTAAGGACCAGGATGGGTGGGTGGAGGGGTAGGTAGACAGGTAGACAGACAGATAGACAGACAGATCAATCTTTTCTGGCCTTTAATATGTGTTGCCAAATTACCCCCAGGAGAGAGAGTGTGCTCCCACACCTCCACATGGGTTCTTGTTTCCTCTTTTGCCGACTCTGAGTGTTTATTTTTTGTTGGGTCGGCTCTGTGTACTGGGTCTCCCCAGGTCCTATCTCTCTCTGTCTCCCTGGCTGTGTCCCTCTGATCCCAGCCTTGGTATCCGAGGATGAGCTCTACTGAGTTCACTGCCTCAAGTTAGCCTCACAGTCACACAGCAAGCATGCATCCACTGCCCACCAGATACGTCTTTTAAAATGCAAAACTCGTGTAAACCAGCCACTAGAGAGTATTTATTTCAGCTAAAGAAAAAGGGGAGAGAAGAAGCTGTCTCCATCCCCAGTAATCAGCACACTGTCTCCTCACGACTGCACCATGATGAGGGGTCAACATGGAACTTTCCAAGCATAGATTGTGGCGAGCTGCTCTCTCCAAGTTCCCCTTAGAAATGGAAGCCTGCTCTCTTGGGCCAGATTCTATCTGTCTTTCAAACATGGTATTTTGTTTACAAAAAAGAGGAAGGTGGCACTTTTAAGGCAGAGATGCGTAAGTTTCCAGTGTTGAAGGCCACCGGGCACCTGTCACATTCTCCTCAAAACCCACAAAGGGTAAGGGACAGAACAGGGCCCTGCACTAGCTGTTCAAGGCGTGGCCTGCAGGTCCCAGGTGGTCCTGGAGCCTGGACTCTCTCGCAGAGGCAGCTTGACCTGTCTGCTGTTCAGTGTGTCACGGTAATTCTTCTTCTAAGATCCCTGCCAACCAGAACCAAGCTGGTGTGACACCAACTCCGCAAGATCTAAAATCATTGCCAGCAAAGCTGCCAAAACCAAACATAAGAACCACTCCTGGAACGTTCCACTGTCGTTGCCAGTCAACCTGAGCAGTGCTGTCCTAGGGAGACACAAAAACTCTGTGGGAGACCCCTGCTTCTCTGCCTGTCAGGCCCTCTTGGAACATTCTCACAAGGAGAGCCTTGTGGCAGGGGCCTAAGAGATTATGTATCCACATGTTAAATCTCACCAAGATCCTATAAACCTGTCTCAAAGGAAATGGCATCTGGTCAGGTTTTTAAGTATTGATGATCCTTTGTAAACACTGACTCAGCTTTCATTTAAGTTTGAACTAATCATCAACAGTAGGTTTTAAAAAGGAATCTATTACTTCATTTATAAGAAGACTTAACTTCAGAGATGGGGCCTGCCCCAATTTGCATACTTTGTGACAGATGTAAAATATAGTGGTTTTATCTGATTAGGAATTTCCATGGCTGTTCTTTGTCAGTGATTCCCAAGAGTAGGGTTCTTGAGCATTATTACCTGGGAACTTGTGAGGAAACCAGAAATTGGGGCCAGCAATCTATGTTTAACATGCCTTCCGGTGACCTGAGGGTGAAAAGGGGAACTGCTACCTTTGGCATCTGAGCCAGCCTGTGCCCTCTCCTGCCAGTCCATCCTCTCACCCGCAGGGTCTCTCAAGCCCCAGCTTTGTCCTTTCTCCAATGCCTTGGGCCAGGATCCGAAGGCTGTAAGTGAGGGTTACAGCTCAGACCCTAAATGAAAGCAAATCACAGTGGTTTTTAAGTGTACAGAAGGAAAAGATTCATATGTATAGATCCCAGAACCAAATATTAAATGAACTGTATTCTGTAGAAAAAAGCTAAGCAGTTTGAAATGCAACGGTAAGATGACTAGGCTGAGCTAGTGAAAAATATGAAATACTATGGATTTTAAATGTAATTCAGTCGTATTACTTTCACTTTTACATAATAACCTGTAATGGATTAATGAGCCAAGAGCATGTCCCAAAAAGAACATGTAGTGGTAGATATTATGTATAATTTACACGTTAAATGTTTATGGAAACTTGGTCATATCCATGTTACTTCAAAAGAGTGTGTTCTCTTCTTATCTTGGCCCTGGATTTTGACAGATCTAGCTTCAAATCCTAGCCTCACCCCCGAAATATTCCTGTGACCCTTGGCATTTACTCCCCTTTCAGTTCCTCGGTTTTCACACTTCTGAATAAAATAAGATATAAAATATTTACCTCACTGAATTACTGTTAATATTAAACAAGGTAATGAATGTAAATCTTGGCGTGATGCCTAATTCATCAAAAACTCTTAGTAACTCAGAGCTGGTCAAATAAGCATTTAAACTTTCTCCCCACCCCAGAAAACATTAAAGTTTATTATGAATGTTACCCCGTCATCACAAATCCTAAGTAACAGGGTAACCAAATGAGCTTAAAATGAAATTGCACACTAGCAAAAAGATACAGTGTGTTGAGTAATTCTGGTATCTGAGTTACTGAGCAGAACATAACCTTAGGAACCACAAAGTCTGATTTGTGGCTCACCTCTGTGCTTGGGCAAAGCTTTTCTATCCATGGGCCTTGTAGGTAAACATAGTCTGTCGGCAACTTTCTAATTCTCTGCCTTTGGTGAGACTCCAGGAGTAAATTGTAAAAGAGGCCCAGCTGGCAGCTAAACAGTGGTCTGCTGCTAACTAGCGGAGCTACAAGACACACACCCCACACACAAAATGGTGAGTTTAGCATAAACTCTGCTCTCAGGTAATTAGGTAGAATTATAATTTTAAAACCCCAACCTAAAGAGTTATTAATAAAGTTACACATTGACTAGGATACCAGTTGAAGACCTATATTTGTCATAAAAGAAATGCAGACTACTGAGATGAAAGTTGATGAAGATTACAACCAACTTGGTATATAAAAACATAAAAACTAATTGTAGAAGGTCTGCCACCATCTAAGGAAAAATAACCTTGAGGTTAAAGAATCAAGATGAACATTGGTCGCAGAGGTCCTGTTGCTTTTAAGGTACTGCCTGTTGTCCTGACTGGCGTTTTCCCTCTTGTTCTTTGCTGATGTGAGCTGCTTCTTTCCAGCTGCCATGTGAAGACCAGATAATCCTCCTCAAAGGCTGCTGCATGGAGATCATGTCCCTTCGAGCTGCTGTGCGATATGACCCAGAAAGTGAGACTTTAACCTTGAATGGGGAAATGGCAGTGACACGGGGCCAACTGAAAAATGGGGGTCTTGGGGTTGTGTCAGACGCCATCTTTGACCTGGGCATGTCTCTGTCGTCTTTCAACCTGGATGACACGGAAGTAGCCCTCCTTCAGGCTGTCTTGCTAATGTCTTCAGGTGAGTGGGCCAAGACTCATTATGGATGTGAAAAGAGCTTTTTGGTTGTCTAGTGCTAATTCAACTTTTCAGGCTCCCTTTAGCTTAACTCTCCTTCAGTGAGAAATTTTCAGTTCACCAATGGCCTGGGAAATGAAGAGTGATGCTTTCTCCAGTTTCCCAAGGTGGTAGAAAGAAACCAAAGGAGACGTCTGAAAGATACTATGAAATGATAACACCTTCATTAGGAATTACCCAGCCTGTTTCAAAGTATTTGGCCAATCCTGCTTCCCCCTACTTTTATGTATACACAAAATATGGATGTGAGTGACCACACCTTTCTGATAAGTTCTGTGTGTGGAACCATGCATGAGAGCCAGAATTTGCTCATGGTTCAGCTACGTCTTGAGTTTCCCGGTATCTAATGCCTATGTAGCACAACAAAGCAAAACGTACAGGCTTAAAACATCCAAGATGGCTGAGACATCAAACAAAGCTCCAGACCTTTCTTTTTGCAGACTTCCCTCATGCAGGGTAGTTAGACATCTTACATGACTGTTGGACCCCAAGAGGGAGAGTCCCACGCACACAAAAGCAGAAGCTGCAGGTCCTATTCTGTAGTCACACATTATCATACCAGCCTAGAGCCAGCCCCAACCCAAGGGCTGACCTCCAGAGAGGAATACTGTAATGGCGAAGAAGACCCAGCCATCTTTAACCCACCATAGCTCACTCTCAGAACTGATGGCTCCTGTATGTGAAGGGGAAACAGTGCTGATGGTTTTCTTCAGCGATCTTGAGCCTTTAAGGGGAGTGTGGTTTCAGAGCCGTCCTTTGCATTCTCAGAGTACCTTGAATTTAGCTGGGCTCCAGCCCTTGTCTATAACTCTGGATGTTGCTTATCCATATCTCCCTCTGCACTGAGGGAAGACAGAGATGTATCTAACTGTACACCTAGCACCTGGGCCACTGTTCAGTAGAATTCAAGAAATGTTTATTGGATGAATGACCAAACATGTGGTTAAAATGTCAGTCATGAGTACGCTGGGAATCCTTTATATAGTTGATGATTTGTAGTTAACTCAGTAGAATTCCTTTTTTTATTTTTAGGTTGACTTAGAAATTTACTTCCTATAGGAAGTTTAGATATGGCAAATTTTTGAAAGAGGAATTATTTTTATTATGGAAGATTTCAAAAATATCAATAAATAGAATAACATAATGAGCCCTCTTGTAGCCTGTGGCAGAGAGACTCTAGGGACCCCCCTCCAGGTTCACGCCATTGTGTAATACCCTCCCCGTATGCGTTTACAGAACCTGAGATTTGCTTTTAGCCAGTAGAATACAGCAAATGTGATGCCACCTCTGGTGACTGGCTATGTTATGCAACACAGGATTCTTGCTAGCAGACTTGCTCCTCAGGCCTCTTTGGCTCCACGAGGCAGGTGGCCATGTGAGGAAAGTCACATGACTTTCCTATCACATGACAGGAAAGTGCAGCAGCCTGGAGAGCTGAGGGGGCCTGCTGTACAGCCAGTGAGCAGCCACAGCCTCAGCCCTTCAGGGAATTATGCTGTTCTCGAAGAAATAAGACTTAGAGCCCATCTTAAGACTCCCTAAAAGACCTAACCTCTATATGCTTCAGTGACCTTTAAAATAAAGGAACTGAACTACATATGTGGGAATTATATTCATGGGAGTGCTCAAGGTAACTTTTTAGCTGAGACTTTAATGGACAAAAACAGTTTTAAGGGCTGGGATTTAGCTCAGCAGCACACTGCCCGCCTGGCAAGCACAAGGTCCTGAGTTCGATCCTGGGTACCAAAAAGAACCAGTTTTAAATAACATTAAATCACACAGAGAAGAAAGCTATTTCTTTTGCAACCTGTCTCCTAAATAAGGCAAGGAGAGAGTCTGTGTGCTACTAGGCTGACTTTTACACCTCCACTATACATGCCACCTTCCTTTTTGAATAGTAAGATAGTGATCTCAGGAACAAAATCTTTGCAAGAACCTTTAGTTTTAATAAAAGGGGTTTTATTATTTAATAAGGGTTTTGTAATGCATCCACTTTTGTGGTTATCTTCTGTTTATGACAAATGGATTTTTGTTTCTGAATACATTTCCTCTGCAGTGACTCAAGATGATTAAATAAATGATTTAAGTAAGGTTACATAAAGAAGGAAGCAGGCAGTGGTGGCAAAAACACCACCAAGCAACTAGTGAATTACTCTTCCCAAGTCTGCCTTAGTGAGGTTGTTGCTGCCTGAGTCAGGTGACATATCTTATAATTTTAAAACATCCCCCATCCTAGTAACATGGGTCCTTTTCAAAGATACTGCCATATAAAAGAAGCTCCCTGTTCTGCCATGTTGCTTTCTCTCCTTTGTTTGGAAACAGCCTGGCAGATCCTCCCCGTGATAAAGGCTTGTTATGGTCCTGGTCTGGTCCTGGTTTTTGGCTCTTTCTACCTAACACATGCATATCAGAGTTCCTATGCTCCAATCCCTCCTCAGCTTTGTCTTCTAAGCCCCAGAGTATGTTTGGCATTTCAATTGCACAAAGGCCTTTACCAGAGTGCTATTGCTGGGCTCCATGATCCTGCAGAGATACACAGAGGGCAAAAATGGGAATGATCCCAAAGACATTTCTCTGAGAACTTTTGCCTTATGGACTTAAAAAAAGGCTTTGGGGTTTTTTTTGCTTTTTTTTTTTTTTTTTTTTTTTTTTGGTACCGGGGATTGAACTCAGGTCCTTGCGCTTGCTAAGCAGGCCACCAAACCGCTGAGCTAAATCCCCGGCCTGGCTTTGGTTTTTAAAATCCTTCCCTCTTCCTAACTTTTTTAGTATGAATTGAGCATCATTAAAATGTCATTTCTTTCTATTTCTTTTATATGAAAATCTTATTTTTCTCTCTCATCAAAGAACAGAGTTTCAATGCCACAAAACCCGAGCTGTATTTTCTCTTTGAGGAGAGACATCCATTCTTTAGGGTTTAAAAAAAAGTTTTGGGGTTTTTTTTTCTTTTTTTTTTTTTTTTTTCTTTTTTTGGTACCGGGGATTGAACTCAGGTCCTTGCGCTTGCTAAGCAGGCCACCAAACCGCTGAGCTAAATCCCCGGCCTGGCTTTGGTTTTTAAAATCCTTCCCTCTTCCTAACTTTTTTAGTATGAATTGAGCATCATTAAAATGTCATTTCTTTCTATTTCTTTTATATGAAAATCTTATTTTTCTCTCTCATCAAAGAACAGAGTTTCAATGCCACAAAACCCGAGCTGTATTTTCTCTTTGAGGAGAGACATCCAAAGCAATATTTTGTTGATTTTCTTTTATGATCAAAAGTTGCAGGATTCTTCTGACACATTCAAAGGAAAAAAAGAAAGAGATGGAGACAGAGAGAGCAGATCCACTGAGCAGCATTACCACATATGAAAGGAAACAAAATTAAAATGCACAGCTTGCCATTTGAACCAGAGGATTCCAGAAACCCATATAGTTTGTTTAGTCTTAGAGTAAGGATTGAGATTTAGCTTTATCCCTTCCTTTCAGATGAAGCAGAACTCTGTAGCAACTGGTCTCTGGGGTGTGGATTCATTTGACCAGAGCTACAAAGAGCAAACTGAAGAGAACTGAGGAGGAGAATGATTGAGATGCCTGGATGTTTGAGGAATTCACCCAGACTGATAGATTATTTTGCTGCCCGGGTACTTGCAGCCTGGATATTCCCCAGTCATTCAGCCTTTTTGTAGCATCCATTCAATAATCTTACTGAAACTGGTCAGAGTCCCTTCCCACATACTGTAGGAGGACCAGTAATCTCTCCAGCCCAAGGAAGTTTTAGGGATACACATGGTCATGGTCTCTCCTGCTCGGGCTGCCCACTGTGACTAGTCTCTTCTCTGTAGAGGGTAACTCCAGCACAGCTCAAGTCTCCCTTTCTCTTCATTGTAGTTGTCAAAATCACCGCCAACACAAGGCTACTACAGGTAGCAATTTTACTACAGCTACAGTGGTCTCTCTTTATCTGAGGTTGCACTTCCCACAGTTTAAGCTTCCTGCAGTCAAGCATGGTCCAAAATTACTTATTAGAAAATTCTAAAAATAAAAAATGTGTTTTAAATTGTGTGCCATCATGATTAGTATGATGAAATATTGTACCATCCTACTCCTTACCTGGGATATGAATCATCCTTTTATTCAGCACATCCATGCTATATATCCTACCCTCCTGTTAGTCACCTAGTAGTCACCTCAGTTTTCAGATCAGTTGTATCACCACGCATGTGTTCAGGTTACCCTCAATTTATCTCATAATGGCCTTGTTTTAGTTGTTTTCCTCATCATTGGCACAAAATACCTGACAATCAAAACCTTAAAGGAAGAGTGGGTTTTGGGGGTTTTGTTTTTTTTGGTTTTTTGGCTCACACTTCAGACGTTTCAGTCCTTGTATGGTTGGCAGCATGGTGGAAGGGCCTGAACTGAGGAAAGCTGCTCACTTCATGGCAGCCCGGAAGCAGAGAGAGAAGCAAGAAACCAAGAAGGGAGATACACCTTTCCAGGCTGTGTCCTCAGTGACCCACAGCTACCGTGCACTGTGACTCATCACCTTCCTAAAGCCCCATCTATGAGTGCATGAGGATCTTGGGGACATCTAGATATAAACCATAACAGCCCCAAAGCACAAGAGTAGCAATGCAGACAACTTGGATATGCCAAAAGGAAACAAAAAGTGCTTGCTTTACACGAAAAGGTGAAAATACAAGAAGATATTTTGAAAGGAAGAAAGAAAGCACATTCACATAGCTTTTATTACAGTGCATTGTTATAATTGTCCTCTAATCTCTTATTGTGCCCAATTTATAAATCTAAATTTCTTAGAGGTGTGTATGCATATCCTCAGGTTCTGTGTTTGCAGATTCCACCACCCCAGATTGAAAATATGGAGGGAAGAAGTGTCCGTACTGAACACTTACACACTTTTTTCTTGTCATTAACCCCCAGACAACAGAGTATAACAACTATTTACATGGCATTCACATTGCATTAGGGTATCATAATCTCAGGAGACTAAAGGATATGGGTAGATATGCCTAAGTTATGTGTAAAAACTATGCCATTTTATAATGAGGAACTTGAAAAGCCTCCAAATTTTGTACCCACGAGGGTCGTAGGACCAATCTTCCCCATGGACAGAGCAACTGTAGATCCAGGGTTCAGTACTACCTGCAGCCCCAGGCATCCAGGGGAAGTCTTATCTGCCATGGACAGGAGGAGGCTACTGAACAAAGGAAGGGAGGGAGTATTGCTGCAGCCCAGCAAACAATGTAGTTGGACATCGTGCTGCTTTGTCGAGGAAATCCCTTCCTGTCCAACTTTCCCCCTTTGCCTGATCTCTTCTCATACCCCCCGCCGAGTGTTTCTGTCTCTCCTCTCCTCTCCTTTCTTTTCCCTCTCCGTCCTTCCTCTCCTCTCCCAGACAGAGGAAATTCATCATTTTTCCCTTATCAGCTATGCTACCCTAGAAAGTAGACATTCCTTCTCATATCCACAGAGGTGATTTGCCCAAATTATAAGTATTTATCTGATCAAAACACTGTTGCTCCCCTGTCTCTTGGCCCCTGGTACCCCAGGATTCACACCCATGCATGCTCATTCCTAGGAGATGCACAGGCCACATCTGCCCACCTCCCACGGAAGGACTGCATGGGACCCGGCAAGCTGCCTCCTTTTCCACCTCGGCATTAATATCCATCCTCTTCCTTCCTCCCAGATCGCCCAGGGCTTGCCTGTGTTGAGAGAATAGAGAAATACCAAGATAGTTTCCTGCTGGCTTTTGAACACTATATCAATTACCGAAAACATCACGTGACACACTTTTGGCCAAAACTCCTGATGAAGGTGACGGACCTGAGGATGATCGGAGCCTGCCACGCCAGCCGCTTCCTGCACATGAAGGTGGAATGCCCCACAGAACTCTTCCCCCCTTTGTTCTTGGAAGTGTTTGAGGATTAGACTGACTGGATTCATTCTCATAATTCCTACAGCACTACTGGGTGTCATTTCATTCCATTGCCTAGCTCTTTATTGTTCGTTTCTTTGTCTCTTTGTGTTGGGAAGGCTCGTTTGGGGGTAAAGGGAGGTGTCCTTGGCAAAGACATGGATGAAATTGCCCCTCGAATGTGGGTACTTGTAACTATTGCATTTCGTCCTCTGGTCCTTTGATGTGAATGCTTTGAAGGGTTTTGCAGTTGCGGAGGTGGGGTGAGGGACAATCATTATTTCACCAGCATCAAGCCATCACCAGCTCCCACCTGTCCCTGGTCAAGACTCGAGCAAGCCAGAAGGCACACAAAAGACTAAGGAAGCCTTACAGCCAAGATAATACAGTCATCTTGATCCAATCTGATTTGTTCAGGGCTCAAGTTAGCAAAGCACAGACCACCTTTGGCAAGACATAGTTTTCAGCTTTTGGGGGAAAGATTCAAACAAATTTTCATCTAGTTATCTGTATTTAGCCCTCATTCTCTCCTAGCAGGTTCACTTGGAATGTGCAGGAATATTTGTGCCCTAACAAATCAGCTATCCATTCAATATCATTTTTGTGACTTTTTTATTTAATTCTAGTTATACAAACACAACTGAAAGATGTGCAGGTATATGACTGACTGAGGCTACAAGGAAAATAATTTTCTTGAGTCAGCCCAAAGAAATTAGATTCAACAGTGTTAGTGACTGCAGTTTGCAAAAATTCATATAGTATTACCTCGGGGTAAAAAGGCTTCTTTACAGTTTTGGCCCACAGAAACATTCCCACCGAAATCAAACCTATTTACAGGGTGTCATCACTTTTCAATGGCATCTGATCTGTCATCTCCAAGCTCCTGAACTTATTTCTCCTGACTGCATCTTTGCTGAGCTGACAAGAGATTTCCCTACGGATCATATCTTCTAATCGAGGAGAGAGAAACAAGCTGAAATTTGAGTCTTATTTGGAGGAACTGTGAAGCAAGATTAGTGTGGTTTCACTCTCAGTTGAAACACAGTATTTGTGTACTGATTGCTTGAGGATGCTTTCGTCTGGTCTTAGATCCTCAAGTTCTTTGCTTGATTCACATATACTTTCTGGTTCCCCTTTCCCTCTGACTCTGAGGCACTACATAGCTTGACTTTCTCTAACCACCACCAATCCCACCACTGATCCTCCTGTCCTCTCTCCAGCTTTACCCTGAGTCACTCAGCAGAAAACCTCTGCAGTCCACGTTAGGGAACACACTCTTGCCTTCACTGCCCAACCCATCATCCTACTGCCCTACCAACCAAGATGGAGTAACTGTCCCGGAAAATCAGTGGTGACACCTCAGCACTTCAGCATCAGAAAATGGGCAAGAAATGTGCCCATGCAATTGAATGTACCTCATTCCTCACTGGCATGGTAGATGTAAACTATTCCTTTGCCTGCCTTTTACTGCCTTATCCTAAAAATATTGGGGAAGATAAGCCATATCACTGAGATTTACCTAAAAACAAAAGAAGGAAAGTCACTGTGAAAACCAAGTTGACTAATTTCATTTTAGGTTTGGGGAGCACAATTGGCCTAGAAGTCAGGGCACCTTGGTTCCAGTGTGTACTCTGTTGGCTGGTACATTCAGAACCTTGAACCTTGGTTTTCTTATGTGATAAGCAAATCAAGATCTCCAAAATCCGTCTCACCCTCCACATTGTGTGAACTGGAGGGAAGGGTGAGTTCTTTGGGGGTGGTTTCTTTCACATTCAAATTTCTAGCTTTATTACAAATATAGCCCATGAGCAGTTAAGGAACGTATACCTGACACTGATTCAAAATAAAAACTGTATACAATACTAGTCAACCATTCAGAGAAAGCACTGTGCCCTTGGGAAAAGGAGGGGAATAGCATTCAAAATACCAAAAATGATTGACAATAGTTGAGGTGGGGGGGGTGATGTTCTAAAGCGGTTTTACTGGCTTCTAGGGAAAGGAAACAATATTGCTATGGAACACTATTAATGACAGAGAGGAAGTGGGTGAAGAGTATAAAAGTATGACCATGAAATTCCTAAGCATCTCACCTGCTTGGCACTGTCTACAGACAGCTGTTCTGGATTTTGTCTTTTCCACACAGCCCCCAGCTGGTCTCCTTACTTACCTGCTGTTAGCACCTTAGCCCCTCTGCTGACTCACCTCCAAAGATAAACACTTGGCCATCTCTAGCTCAAGGGGATTTGAGGAGTTTGTTGTGTGGGGCAAAGGAGTGAGAGGAAGACATGCAGGTTGGGTGCTGGACAGGCTCACAGATGCAGGGGTGTCCAGCTCTCCAGGGAGTGTCCTTATTTTGTGTCATGGATTCCCCAGAACAAACTCCAGTATCAGTGCAGAGCCCACCCCCAAGCTCAGAACACTTTGCGGGATTGACCACAACTGGGCATTGGCCGTATGGTGACGTATTTATGGCCATCAGGCCCTCCCCAGGCAAAGGAATGTTTGATCCTCACCTCCTTAAATGATTGCCTTACCTAGGCAAAGCCCCGTCCTAGAAGTGTGTTGAAGGCTGAACACCTTATGCTGATAGAAGTCAGTTTCTGGTTCAAAGGAAAAGCTTTAAGGACTCAAAGATTGGTGCCCCTGGTGATGACAGCAACTAACCTCATTCCGCGCAAAACTGACGGGGGTGCTTAGTGTATCTCAAGACCCCATCTCATAAAACGTAACTGTAAGGATTTGCTCCTGATTTTCTTTTTAAACCTTTTTTCTTATACTGTCCAGACATCTAAATCATGTGAATGTGAACCTGAAAGTTTTCCCTCCTGCCCCACCCGTGGGGAGGCACTCCAGTAGAGAACACACCCACACCACTGGGGTCCTTATTTATAACTGTCCTCCTCCAGAATCGGAAGGGGTGGGCACACACCATGCACTCTTCTGTACCTATCTGTGTGTACTCTGCTCATCGGTTTAGACGTGCAGTTCTCCAGAAACAGTGAAAACGGTGAGAGATTTCCTTCTCTATGAGTCTGCCCAAAACACTACGTGCCGCCTCAGAGCCTCTTCCAGTCCCGTGAGCTTCCGTCCTCAGTGACGCTGGACGTGTTAATGCTCAGCCCAGCCACGCCCTCATTTGTGTCCGGATGGAGACCGCCTCAGCCTGCAGTGCAAGCATCGGGAGGAATGCCAGGCCCGGCTCTGCTCCAGCAACGCCATTCTCCGTCCTAGCTGCTCCTTGCAAACAGGTGTACAAGCCTTGATCTCCCAACACTAAGCACCCCCGTCCCGACGCAGCCTCCTTGGAACTGCTGAGGACCCGCAGAGCATGTCACTGTCGGTGATGCATTTTTATTCTAGGGAACTCTAACCCATCCGTGTCATATTGACCTTTTGCTGCATGAGTCCTAAATTATGAAGTCGGTCATGGTTTTTGAGATGTAGCCAGCGTTTATAAGGCTAAACCTTTTTCATGAACTTTTTAAGTGACTAACCAAGCCACAGTCCTCCTCAAAAGGAGAGTAATGACAGATATTTAAATCCCTGTGCCCTCTCCAACGGCCATGGCATCAGGTTCTAAAATAAGCTCGTAATTTTTCCTGTTATTTTAATAATATGGAAATATTAGCATAGTGTTTCTTTTGATAGTGATATACTGTAATCCATATTTAAATTTTATAGAGAAATTTTATTGTACTGTGATGTAGATATTTATTATCCAGGTAAGGATTTGCCCAGTGTGTATTTTTTACAATGAAACATTTTACTTTAATCTTTAAAAAAAAATACATTAAAATACATACACAAAAAAAAACAGACTAGGGAGAAAAAAAAAAGGTTTGGCCTTATCACAGAAATTTTACTGTGCTGTATAAATGTTTGCAAATGCAAAAAGTGTGCATTTCTAGTGTGTTTCACATTAATTAATGCCGCCTTCAAGAGCAATATCATGCAGGTAAAACGCTGTTTGTGGCTTTCTGTTGCACAGTTAAAGCTGACCCACCTTTATGCACAAGACAATCAAATATCAGTCTGTCCTCAGGATGCAGATAGTGCTCATGTAAATCATGGAGCACAGTGTGAGACAGAAGACATTTTACACAGGCGTTGATATGGATGATCAGGGCATGAATCAGCTGATGTGACTTTCTACCATTTCTTTCTTTTGGTTCTTCCTTATGGACTTGACATCTTTAATTTGCTAAGAGCCAAATTAGTTCTCCATGCTTTCCACAGAGAAAACACTTTTCTTTCATTCTATACTATTTTCATGCCCTGAAGACTGGAAAAATGCTACAGAATTGAAGATTTACAGTCATTGGAAGATTTATGTTTTGCAAACAGTGTTGTGATATTGCTACATTGGTAATATTTTTTTCAGCCTAAAACTCTGTTGAAATCTGTGATCAAAATGTTTTAAACTATCCAAAAAGAAAATTTGTATATTTGGGAAAAATGAATTTTTACATAGCTTTTGTATGCAGATATCAAATTGTAATTATGAATATAGTGGGCGTAGATAAACTCATAAGCTTAAATTCTAAAAAAGAGGAAAAAAAAGAAAAAGCTTATAATGGATATATTTTCCTGTCTCTTTCTTTAAATAGTATTACTTTTAAATAGCACAGAGTTGCCTGCTCTTGTCGCCTCTGCTGTCGCAAGGTGAGGTGCGGTGACAGGGATGCTACGTTTCATAATGAACATATTTACATGGGAGAGGAGGAGAGGAGAGGACTAAAAGGTCTATGAGGGTCACTTCTTTGTAAGGAGCTTCGGTGATGGCAGAAGGAGAAAAGAGGCTTCTGTAATTCCAGGAACACAGTCCTTTTCTTATCTCAAAATTTTCCATAATGTTATTAATGGAATTATACTAACAGTAGCTACCAAAATTTATCACACTCTCCGCTACCATCAACACACATTGATGGACTCCTTGTGACAAGTGACAAAAGCTAAGTCAAACTGGCTCGAGCATAATGGTTTTGCCTTTAAAACCTGGAAAATCTGAGGCTATGACACTTCACACATGGCTGGGTCTGGGTGCTCAGTATTATCAAAAAGTCCTGGCTCTGCCTTTTACTTCACATAGACTTCATGTTCCGTTAGCCTTTCACCTTCCAGCAAGCACCAGTAGCTCCAGGATTAGCGTTATAGCTCCAAATATAGTGGAAAGACTGTTTCTTTTCCCCAAAAGTGTCCAACAAAAACCCTAGGACTAAGTCTCATAATACACCCAGATTGAGTCATGGCCCATTCCTGCATCAAAAACTGGGGTGAGGAGAACTGATATGCTAATGAGCTGAAGGACTCCTGGAACTGGGCAACTGGATGGATAGATAATAAGCCCCATCTGAAATACAGACAGATTTGAAACAGGAATGATTACTCAAAGAAAATTCTAAGTCCTGCTGCCCTAGTAAATGGGTAATAATGGTAGGCAATCAAAAGCAAAAAAAAAAAAAAAAAAAAAAAATTTTTTTTGAGGAAAAAAAAAAAAAAAAAAAAAAAAAAAAAAAAAAAAAGGCCACACCAAAGTTAGTCTAAAAGCATGCCCAGGTTCAGCACAGCTGTGGCATCACCCTAACACAGAGGAGGCTCGGTGTGATTTGGCTGGGACATGAAGCAAATCAACACTTTCCAAAAGAAGTGCTTGATAACATTTTCCCTTGACTCATGAAGAAAGTCAGTCCAGGTAAGATGGAGCAAGCGTTTCTTATTTCCCTAGACTAGATCAGTACAGATGAATTTTTTCTAATTTCTGAGTTCTTCCACTCTCTGTTCAGAATGCTTTTTTTTTTTTTTTTAACGGTTCCAGGGATTGAACTCAGAACCTTGCACTTGAGAGGGAGGTGGCAAAACCACTGAGCTAAATCCCCGGCCCCAGAATGCTTTTATATTTATCTATTTTTTTTATATTGTGTACCTCCCAATAAGTGGAATTGTCATTAGTTTCACCAACATGCACAACTTCTGTTGTTCAAAGCAAAGAAAAACAGTATAACTACTGAAAATGTAGGGTGCTACAGATCTCAAGAGAAAGCACAGGCTACTTGATAAAAATGTACCACATTATACTCTACAGACAGAGTTCACTAACATCAGACACTAATGAACTCATAAATGAAGTGTGAATGAGCTCAGAAAATGATACATATTGGAAATTATGTGAAAACGAGAAGAGAACTGTCTTAGGTTGGGTTCCCCTAAAGCAGAGCCCCAAGGAAGCAGAAATGGAGGGAAAAGGCAATGAGGCATAGAAGGAAAGAGAGCAAACATAAGAGGCATTGCTGAGTCGCCACACTTAGTACCAAGCATAACTGAATACTCAATTGTGCAAGACCCTCTCCCAAAGGGCCATATCAACTCTTGCTTCTCAACATAGTCAACCCCATTACCAAAATGGAGTCTGAGGTTCCTCCACTTCTAGAGTGTAAATACTTGGCCACAGATCAGGTCTAGCAGTGGCTCATGATTCAGAAGCAAGAGCAGTCTCCCAGTTGGAGGAAGCTGTCCCACTCCTCCAAATGGATGGCAGATGAGACGGCAAGAAGGGGAAGCCAGTGGCCCTCAGGCCACAGGTAAATGGAAATTTAAAAATTTACAGGGATTTGATACAAGGGCTCCTCAAGCCAATGAGTTCTTCCCCTTATCTGAAGAAAGGGCATGTGCTCTCAAGTGCCAAAGAGAATCGCACAGCTCAACAACAAACCTGTATTCATGGACTGGTCTACAGAGGGGCTTAATTTAATGCAAACTGACCAGGTAAGTTGATTGTCTACTTAGTTACATTTTTCTTCTAGTAGTTCTGAAAAACTGAACACATATAAACTAATCATTTAATTATACATTGTTAGGTTTGTTTTGTTTTGTTTTGTTTTTATACTGTGGATCGAACTCAGGACCTTTGCTTGCAAGGCAGGCAGCGGAACCACTGAGTTAAATCCCCAGCCCTATTAGTTTTTCTTATGGGTAGCTCATTCATGGGCAAAATTTTTCTAGGTAAATATATACAGTATTGAAATTTTCATAAAAGTCAATGGACATTTTTGTTTGTTTTTCCCACAAAACGTCATTTGGTGCAAACTTTTTTAGTCTAGAAAGTAACAAGATATCTGTTAGGACAGACTGATAATAGCCTCTTTATTTTAATTTTCTTTTACACAACACCAAAGGCAGTAAAGGAGGCAAACACATATAGGAAAAAAAAAAAAACACCTTCAAATTAACAAATCAGAAAACTCCTGAGCCCATAAAAAAATGCAGAGATATGAATAAACACTCCTTAGTTTTACCCTTAGTGCTAGAAAGATGCCACAGTCCTTATTTGTGGCAGATATAAAAGTACATGTCCATTCTAACTTTTCTAATGGGCATTTTTATCCCTGAAGAATTTTTTTAGGATGTCTTTCCACTATCTAAAATCAAAGACAGACAGAACTTTTGTGAAAATGAACTACATTAAAAGACAAAGAATATGAGGTCACCAAAGATAGCTCTTTGGTAAGTAAACTGCCATGTGAGAATCCAGTTAAACATTTTAGAATATTCATCCCCATTTCCCCCTAGTACTTTGACCAAAGATAAAACCCCACGTATCAGTTACTGAAGAGTCCGCTGAGCCTGCCCACCCAGGACGTGCTGGGTGTCTGTGCTGCCTCCCAAAGTCCTTCACTACTATGTTGGAGTAAGCAAGAAGGGCCCACCATGCAATGAACACATGCTCTATGCCAGGAGGCATGCTAGACCCTTTCAGTTACCTGTACTCCTCCAGACAAACTAGAAAACAGTGTCAGCATTTTTATACATATTTGACAATAGGGCAATAGAGGCACAGTGTAAGTACACAGCTTCTCCAGGATCTTAGAGTTGACAAGTGTCAGAGCCCATGGGGTTTCAAGACCTGTGTCCATGTCTTCTTTTTAAAATCTTCACTAGTAAGATCCAGGTAAAGCCTTATCCCCTGAAAAAAAACAGAAATGGCAACCCTGCTTTGAAAAGGTTTGCCACTGTTCTTCTTAAAAGACCTATCTACCCTAATGCAAAAAACACCCACTTTCTAAAGACAAGCCACTTCTCCTTTCATTAAATTGTTTCTATTGCAGGACCACTAACTGGTGTTACAATAAAAAGAGTAATATCTCTTTGCAGGACATATTTATAATCCAGCTGGCTGCTAGACATATCATTCTAACAAGGGGGTGCACTGGGAGTTTTTGTTTTTATTTTTGGCCACCATCAAGTTGGAGCAGAGTCAGGGCCAGGGATTTAGCTCAGAAGTTCCTCTGCCTACCTTGCAAGTGCAAGGACCCAAGCTCAGTCCCTGGTACCCCCGCCAAAAAAGGAAGTTTGAGCAGAGCCAAGTGCCTGGTCTGATAGGAGAAGAATTTACAGCAGTGCAGTGTTGGGGGTAAGAAGATGGGCAGATAAGCAAACAAGTTGATAGAAGCGCTTACGTTTCAAGGCATGCTGTAATATTCTCAACTTTAGATAGTCAAATAATTGGCAAATATATGATGCAGATGCATTTTTTTTGAGAGCAAATGAAAAGGGATATTCAGATACCATGTTGGTATAGGACAAGAGGGCCAAAGCAAAGAGGATCTTAATAGTAAGCATCCTACAAGTCATAGGATTCCAGGGATTGCTTTGTCTAGTTTCAAAAAAGTGGGAGAAAAGTTTTCAAAGCAGTTCACCAGAAAGGAGAGTTTCAGCTGACACCTGGTGGGTATACTGATTTAATACTGCACAGAGACCTAGGGATAAATGAGCAAATTGAAGGTCCTTGTGGAATTTTCCACCAGAAAGTAATAAAGAGCCTCTCTTACCAATCTTTACTCTAATTTGCAGCAAAAGCAAGACAGCAGAAGTCCTAAACAAAATAGCAAACCAAACCCAGATTAGAGTGCAATGTTTATGATTAGATACTTGCAGTATCTGCAGTCACAGGATTAATATCAGGAACATACAGTAAGTACTGAAATAACTAAGAAAAAGATATGACATCATGCTAGAATAGAATATTTACTGAAAGAGAACCCCAAATGGCCAGCAAGAATATGAAGAGATTGCCCACCTCATAAGTAATCAAAAACATAAAAGTTTACGCCACTGAACCCAGAAACTAGGCAGATAGAAAATACCAAAAATACATAGTAAGACTATAAGATGAGGGCTTAGTGAGAATGTAAACTGGTTCAGCCTCTTTCCTATGTTGCACTCTTACCAGGATTTCTATTTTGGAAGCAGACCTCAAACTCTCTGATCTATGGGTGGAGGCATCCTAGCACCACAGATTCTGCTGGATCAGGGAGTTCAGTTCTGGCTAAGGAAGCAGTGAATACATTGTAGGGAAGAGGGGGAAAATGCTGGGCAGAGGGTAACCTCCACAGAAATCTCTGCAGCATCATTGACCGTGTGAAATAGAAAGAAAAGGGCTAAAGGTGTAGGGAAAATGGGATGGGTAGGGGAAAGGTAATAAGGGAAAAGAAAAAAATATGAGAAAATGAAAAAAATGGAAATAAAGGGAGGGAAGG